ACTGCGAAAATTGCTTTTCTTATTCGGAAAGCACTTATGAACAGCGCTAAATTTTTAAGCATTCATTCTTTATATATGCTTGGCAATTGGTTGATTTGTACTTATTATAAAGCTTCTTGGCAGTTTATTGAAGAGAAAAATGGAATCGCCCTGACGTTGTTTTTCCTCAGAGGGATATATTGCTCTATAAGGTATAAAATAGTGCTATTAAGAAAATTAATTTTTTCGTCAGTAGAGTGAGGCAAATAAAATAAGAAATCGCAGATTACTTCCGAAAGGATAAAATCAATAATTTCGTTATCAAAATGACAGTAATTTTTAGAAATCTCGAAGGAGATGCATAGCGGTCCAATTTTAATGAAGCAGCATGAATGTGGTCATTATTACAAAAGGTTCTAGGACATTGAAAAGAGAAGAAGCACCAGCACAACATCCAATATGGTGTTATACCTAGTGGCGAACATAACACGTTGCTCTAAGCCTATATAAGCGCAAAGCTTTAGTAAACCCTCTTCAAATTTGCTGCTATTTTCCATGCAACTACTGTCCCAATCTATGTTTTACCTGGAGGCAGTTTAATTTCATAAAGCCTAACAACGGATTCCCTTACCTACGAGTATACAATAAACCTAGCGGCCATCGAGAATATAAAGAGAATAGAATTAGACAAAATATTAGTGATATCGAATTCTTTACAAGCTAATTACAAGTTTGATGAATATTACCTGGTAATGCACATGTTCAATATTAGTATTAACCTGTTTTTCGTTCTCATGCTGTATTTTGCTATTCCCACTCCCACTTTTACTTATCGGAGTTATTATCCAAGCACATGGCTATATGTCCTGCTTGGTACTTCGGCAAAGAATAGAGTTGCAGCGGTCGCATAGAACACCGGTTAGCAATACAGTCAGCGGATAATATATGATTTATTTCATCCCACACTTGGGTTATTAAATGATAAATTATAAAGCAAAATGATTTAGTAGTATTAAAGTGGTGAATAACGAATGCGAATAATGCAAGAAAACTTGTTATTATCAATAACAAATTATCAGTTATCAGTTAGCAGAAATTAAAAAATAAATTGTGGCGATAGCCGTGTACCACGACTCGGATCTCATTTGCCTGCGCCATTACAAGCCGCGATCGCTGTAAGGATTATTAGGGAGGAAATAAGCGAAAGTAAAAGGGATCGGACCAAATTAAATGCTCAACGGCACTATGCGTGAAAAAACGTGAAAAGAGTGAGTCAGTTGAGACGAGCACGAATGCCTTTTAAAAATTCGATGGCTGAACGAACATGAATAATCCGAATTCGAGAGAATGCGATAAAATGTCATCGGAGACCATAAGTGTCGCTTTCTTCCATTGCCAGCATAAATTGTGTCCTTTCTTCAGTGTGCACGTAAGGTGTGCAAGTAGAGTGTGCAAGTAGAGTGTGCAAATAAGATGTGCAAGTAAGGTATGCAAATTAGATCGATATTTTGCATCTTTCAATATTCAAATGTCTGTAACCAGCAACTGAAAATAGTTTCGATGAGTGCACGGGCAATCCATTTATACTTTTATTATCAGTGATTCAGTTCGGTCAACGTCAATCTTTTCTTATCAACATATTGCGAACTTTCCTTAAAAAACTATTGAAATATATTCACGTAATCAATCTATCTCGTGCAATCTGGGATAGCTTTGCGCTAAAATTCGTAATATTGTGCTGTAAAGTTTTTTATTTTTAAATTTTAAAATTTGGAGGTAAAATATGGCGCCACATTCAAATTTAAACTGTCAATGCAGTGGACGGTAGTGGTTTATCGTGGTTCCTAGTCTTTTTGCTAGGTTTTGAGAGTGATTACGGGCGGTGATTATGGAGTGATAAATCTAAGCTCTAAGCGATAAATAGTTGCGCAATTTCGATAATTTTATGCTCAATGAGGCCAATTTATTTAGTCGAATGTAAATAAAAAGATTTTCGTCATTCTTTAATTTGTTTTACTTAATTTTGCTTTATTTTTAATGATTTAATTTTGGTTTTATTTTATTTATTTGTTTTTCGTCGTTTTCGTCGCTTTTCATTATGTTTTATCGCTTTTCATTTTCTTTATTATTTTCCTTTTCTATAAATTTCATTGCTAACTGATTCTAATTGATTCGCGCTCTGCAGAAATTTTTTTTCAGTCGCGGTTTATCATAAATTTCGACGCTATTAATAAGCGAATAGATGAGTTTTCTGTTTTTTGGCAACGTTTTAATGAATTTCAGGAGTGCCTCAGCTTTTGGAATGACTCGAACCAAGCATCTGCCTATAAGACGTGATTTGTTGCTTCCCTCATCTCACCAGTCACCAAAGAAATATCAAGGTGGTAATTTTTGCGGTATTTTCGTTGATGAAAATTATGCCATATGGCTATTTTTTCTCATGGATTCCTTATAAAATAATTAAATTGTAAATTTTTGCTTCCCTTTTTTCTCATAGATTTCTGCTTAAATTGTTTAATAACTTGAGGAAACTTAAAATTTAAAATCTTTGAGTGTATTTGGAAAATTTTTTTTTCCATACGTTGTCACAGTTTATTTAAAAGCAAAGACTGCATGTCAAAAACCTATTAAAGTGAATTGGATTTTATGTCCTAAAAATTTTTAAATGGATAATTTAAACTTAAACTTCAGGTCCACCTGCATCGAAGAAAAAATCTACCAAAAGTCCTCAGAAGGAAGTGCGGATTTCATCAAAGCGGGCGAAGTAAATATTATTTACACATTTTTGCTTAGTACTATTTTTTGTTTGCGGCGTTTTTCTATGAATATCAGTTTTAGAAAAGGTTGCAGAGCGTTGCAAGAAGTAAAGCATTACCAGAGGACCACACATTTACTGATTAGTAAAAGCCCATTCACCAGATTAATCAAGGAAATCCTTAATCCTGAATGGTCTTCACAAATGTATAATATCACGCCTGATGCGATTTCTGCTCTTCAAGAAGTTTTTTTTCATTCGCAACTTTAAAATCGCTATTTTTGTGCTTTTGAATTTTTTTCGTTCTTCTATTCATAAGATTTATTTTGCAGGAGAAAAGAAGTAAAAATTGCTGTTATTGTCTTTTTATTGTAATTAGATTATTGACTAAATTAATGCAAAATTTTTAGGCATCCGAAGCTTTTCTCGTTCAATTATTCGAAAATTCATATCTTTTATCGCTTCACGCTAAGCGAATTACATTGATGGTGAGAGATATTTGTATGGTCAGGCGAATTCTGAATTTCTAAGACGTTCAAAACGTTTTTATTCTTTTTACTTTTATTTACACTTTTTTATTCTTGTAATTAGATATATTTTTTAAGAACTCTTTATTCCTGAGATTTGCGTTCAATTTTCCAGATTTACAATAAACATCGAAGCAAATCGCTTTAATAGAATGCTTTTATTTCATTTTCTTAAGTGAGTTTTGTTGATTTTTAAAAGAAAAATTTATTGGTGGCCAAAATGAAATTTTTTTACATTACAAAATTTGCCGGTTTAATATTTTGCAATATGATTTTATAAGTTTATTTATAGGGGTTCTGTCAAGTAATTTCGTAACATTTACAGTTATCATTTCCTTATGTTATTTACCTATATATTTTTACCTATATATTTGCCATTTTCCCATATAACTTCCGTATATTTGGAATGGAAATATTACGAGAAACCCTTTTTTTTTAACGATGCTTTGGAACTTTTTCGTTCTGCAGCATATATATGCAACTAGTGTGTGTTTATATGTGAAAATCATAATGTAAATAAAAAAAAAAAACATATTCCTGTTTGTATATGCGTATCGTAGCATCATTTTACTGCGGGAAATTTAAGGAACATCTAGTAATATGCATCCGTATTCTTTCAATAACAATAAATGAATATATACTAGAATATAAGCAGTGTTTTGTTCATATATTTTACTTGTTACGTGATGTAAGGTGTTTATTTGTTTATTATGCATGTATAAGCTTCAAGACTTCAAAGCTTCAAAGTATTGCGAAAACAACTTTGTGAATCTCGCGAATTGATCCGTAAATGTTAAGAAATTACATGAGAGTCTGTGAGTTGGTAATTTCGTAATTTTGTTTTTAATTTGTTTTTCGTTTTTATAATAAATTAAAAAGCATAAAAGTATAAGTGATTGTGGGGATCTTTTCAAAGCAGGCGTGAAGGCTGGGGCTTGTTTAAAAATATCCAGATTTTGAATAATTAAGTCACTAAATCGAATGGTTCAACAATAGTTGAATGAGAAACTTTTGGAAACGATTAGGAAACAATTCTCTATTGTATGCATAAAACTTATATGCAATGCGTAAAAAGTACATGACAACAATGGATAAAACAGCAGGACGATGGCAATTAAGGGGTAATCTCATCCAGATTTTTGACCGGGTTGTTACCATTTCTTTTGCAGATTATATAATTGGCATAATAATAAGCAAGCGACGTCCACGGAGTCATTGGATGGATGCATCTCAGAATTTTCTATTAGTATTTCTATTCTATTCTATTACAAGTTCGTACTTGCATGTAGAGAAGCTGAATCGTGATGTTCGAAACAATGGGTTAAAAAATGCCACTTCCTTATTTGCTTGTGTATCACCGTTATTTCTGTTTTGCTGGACCTCATTGCCTATCCATCAATTCATTTCGTCGCAAAGATTGGTGGGAAAACTCGTTCTAAAGACGGTCGGGAATATTGATTTGCTGTATTTGAAGCTGTTAACAACACATTTTTATGCCTTTGCTTCTTTCTTAAAGGTTAAGCTAGGAGCTCATTTGTCGTTTGCTGACAGTGGTGCGATTGAAGCAACTACAAAACAATCGTTTAACGAAACTTGTGTCTCTTAGGCCATATCCAACTCAGGCCGTGCCCAATTCCTAGGCCACATCGGACTCGCAAGCTAGCTCCAACTCTTTGGCCATACCCAACTCCAAACCAAGGTCAGCTTCAAATATTTCTACAAGTGACATAAACAAATGAGAGACAAGCGAAGGATGATAGGGTGGCATTGAATGAATATTGTGCTGCGAAATATTTATCTTATCTTACTTCGAAAATTACATGAATTGGTAAATTATTGGTTCAAATTTCTTTTTCTCTTTTTATACCTGAATGAGATTATCCCGTCGGCAATTTGGTGGTTCGTGATTGTTACGCCATTCTAAATTGTCGTGCTGGGGCTGTGGTTGCTGGGGACCCATCTGTTATCCCCAGGTGACTGTGTGCATGTCGGGGACAGCCATAATTGCGTGGAATGTGGTGGCCCATAGGAGTGGCTGTACCTGGATCGAACAGGAACTACTGGCTGCGTCGGAATTTCCGATAATTCAAAGAGAAATGGTATTGCTGTTGTTAAATCCGAAATGGCACGATCAACTCTAAGCTATTAATAAACTTTATTAATGACCAGTTGTGAGGATGGTTGGCAAATATGGCGTTGGGATCTGTTGCACCAGCAGAGAACTTATTTTCCACTTTGCTGGAGCATGGATTTTTTAGCACCAATATTTGCTTTTTAGCATTGCAGACCTACATGGATTTCGCCAGACAGTTAACAGTTTATTTTGGTCAATCACCGTCAATCACCGAAAAAGTTCTGTGTGAGTTAGTCGTACATATTGCGGAGTGGAAACAGGCGACCTCAGAGCATGCTATGATTAGCTGATATCTCAGTGGCATTGACAACCCGTCAAAATCTTTTGACCATCTTAAGTTAAATTTTAAGGGCTTTAGCACCTCTGTTGGAGAATGCCGGTCCCATCTGAGGTCCTTCTTCCGAGAGTTAGTTAGTTAGTTAAATCCTCCTAGAATATACGATTCAGGAGAAGGCGAGTTGGGTCTCAAATGAAACGGCCAGCTGTCCAGCTATCCGATCGCATAATATTGTAGTTATCATCGGCTCCGTAGATTCGCAATTCTCCCGGCGAAACAAAAACCGATGTTCAAAGATGTCGCTTTGAATTTGGAAACTGCTGCTCGAATAGGTAATTATTTCGCCCACTTCACAGAGCAAGCAACAAACGCGAGAGATGATCATTAAAATAATTCGAGGTAGAAATCCCGCTAAGACCATCAAGAATCGTCTCTTCTGATGGAAAGAGTTCTTTCAGTTTGATTCATTTTAACTACAACATCCAACATCCCAGACATGACTGGAATTGGAACGCAAGAGCTGTAAGATTGTAACTGCAAATGATTAAGCATGGAATAATTTCTATAATTAGGAAGCTCAGGTACAATAAAAACTCTGGAGAAGATGGCCTTCTAGCTGAACTCTTCAAATGCTCCCCGGCATCATTTACCTCATCTGAAAAAGAGTGAAACCAATGTTATTCTCACTTTTGTTGGAGAAGATGATTGGAACGAGACAGTTCTGCCTCCATGAGAGGTGAAGTACTGCGACAACTATTCAGACTGTTAGATATTTTTGAGAAAGTTTTTGCTGATTAGACTCATGGCGGTGCGTAGCAATGAGATATGCTCTAACCAAACTGGATTTAGACAAACAATGGTTTTTCTAACCGAATTTTCATGCTAAGAAGGACTAGAACAAATATCGACTATCTACTTTAGGTGTTTCATCGATTTTGCTTTTGGTTCGCTCGATAGGACGATCTCTAGAAAGATGCTTTAACAAGTCATCTAACAGGGTGGTGTTTTAGAGATAATTACTTATCAAAACATATTATAAGTTTCAGCTCGGGTCTATATGCGGAAATGACACAGCCTTTTGAACAATAGGTGTGTGTAAGGTTGCGGTCTTCCTTTATAATTTTCAGATATATGATAGGCTTATGGACACCACTTGCTGACATTCATGAAGTGAAAAAATTGTCCTTGAAGTCAATATAAATCAATTTAATTTAAATAGATAAATGAATATAAATAGTTCTTTTCTCTTTTCACCAGACGTTGATAAGATCTCAAATTTTTAAAATCTTTCTCAAACCTAATGATCAGGCGAAATCCCAGCTTAGATAGATAGTGCAGCCAAAGGTGCATTTTTTGTCTGGTGAAGCTTCTCCGAAGTTGCGGCGAAATCAAATAAAAGTTCGCTTTTATCTGGCTATAGTACACATAGTCGTGCCATACCATACGCTTAAAATCAGAGTGGAAGATATCAAGAATGCATTTTTCGTCTTTGATTATTCATTCATGGGGTATATCCTACACGCCTTTTAAGTGGATAGAATTTCAATTGATTGCATTTGCTTTCATTCTGCACTGGTTTGACCACGTTCTTTCGTTAAGAAATTAAAGTTAAAATGACTTGAAGAAGTTACTTTCAAGATTGGCCTTGGTTCGGAAAGCTTAAAAACTCTAGTTGCCAGTGGAACCAACCGGATCAATAATGGTGAGAGCTGCTAGATTAAAAAGGCATTACGGTTATCTATAGAAATTTCCAGGATACTTAGTATGATGCAGTAAAGTAGCAGATATTTTGATATGTCGCTGTCTTACAACTGGAATTCGAATGCTGAAATTCATCATAAAATGAGTTAAGATGATGAAAAGGTCTATTAAATATAGATATAATATAAATATAAAATAAATATATGCTTACACGCATATGGTGAAATTAGGTATAAAGATATCCATTTTTATGACGCATTATTTTTTTTATCAATTGTCTCCTGGATTATCGCACGTTTTTTCTCTGTGATGTAGCTGGCTGCATTGGTTATTAGAGTAAGATTCATCCAAAGAGGTACCTGTGAATAGAAGTGCAATTCGGTCTGCAGCACCACATTCCGGTTTAACCTCTTCAAGAGGCAGGAATTGAAACTATGGTGACTTGAATCTAACATACTACTGGACTATTCTACATCTTTCTCTTTCTAACTTTCTTTTTGTTGTTGATTTTATTGTTTTTTTGAAAGTTATTTTCAATCTTTTTATCAGTTTTTTGTTTGATTTGGTTTGTCATTGTCATATTTATGTTTTCTTTAAATTCTTATTAAACAATTTTTTTTAGAAATTTATGGCTTTTCTATACAAATTTTGGTTCTTTTCGGTCATTTGGTCCATATACCAAGCCATTTCTTTGCCAATAAATGATTCTACTGTCTTCAGCTTATATTTTTAGCTTTCTTCGCCAGTAATTAACGACACTCCATTTTGCATCTACAATCTTTTTTCTTCCTAGATATGAGGGCCATTTTGGATCGGATAACTGGAAACGCGCTTCATTTTTTGATCTTTGACAATTTTTATCATACTTCTGAAAAATTGGAAATTTTTCTGCAATGTGATTAATTTTTTTAATCATTTGTATAATCAGATAATTGTCATTTCACACATCTTCAAATTTTTTTTTTGTAATAAATAGCAATAAATCTATCAGTTTCAGTCTTAAATTAATGTCTTCTGCAATAACAGTAGTTGATGTTATAGTTCATGATAATCCAGCAGGTTTCTGTGACGGTTTCAAATTAGAAGTTAAATATGAATCGGCAGCTTTTCTAGAAGATGGTTTGATTTTTGATTTCTTTATTTCTTATTTCTTATATTTTCATAAAAATTCGAATTTTCCTTGTATTTTTTGCCACATTTGCTTATTGCTTATTTACAAGCTTATTATTAATTTACGTAGCCAATTAACTACATTGAATTATGTTTTATTTTCTGAAATATGTTTTCTTAAGATAATATTTATTTTTTGTTTTTAAGCTATTAAATTCAGGTTTCAGGTTTGGAATGGGACTTGGTTTATGTTGGAAGTGCAGAATCAAAAAAATATGATCAAGTACTTGCCTCGATTGTAATTGGGCCTGTCGCTAAGGGCCGTCATCAATTCATGTTGGAGGTATGTTTATTCATTTGAAGTTTGCCAAAATTTTTTTCTTCTTAGTCTTTTTATATTTTTTTAAACATGTTTGTCGTATTCCTTTCCATGCTGTACTTGCTGTTTTTAGGCAAATAGTCCAGATGCATCTAAAATACCTATATCGGATATACTAGAACCAACTATTTTGCTGCTAATCGGAAGTTATCAGAAAGAAGAATTTATTCGTATTTGTTGGATTGTTGTTAATGAATATAATGATGCAAAGCTCAGGGAAGAACCACCTGCTATTCCTATTATTGAAAAAGTTTATCTTATTTTGCTTTAAATTTTTTGATTTGGAATAGATTCACTAGTGCCACTTCTCATGAATATTTTTAATATTTCGGTTTCATGAAATCTTCAACTGTTGTTCATTCCCACATCGTAATCTTTTCCAGCTACGGCGGGAAATATCCACCGAAGACGTTCGCATAACCTTTCCTGCAATAAAGTGGAATGATCTTCATCAAGGTGAACCAGTAGCTGAAAAAATTGGAAGAGAAATAGATGAAAATAAAATCACGGATGTAAATAATATTGAAATCACTGATTTTGATAATTTTGATGATATAATGACGGAATTCGATGAAGATGAGGATGAACAGGAAATTGATGATGAATCGGAAGAATTTATTGCAGGTTCGCTTTCACGGTTAGCGTCAGGAGATATAATTATTTTTCAGTTTATTTAATTATTGTTCAGGTGAAGATCTTTTGTCGGCGAATAAATGCCTGAAAAATAACATTCAGTCGAACATCTATTACAAGAAAAGATGGCGATGAAATTCGAATCAAGGCAAATGTTAAGCTTATATAAATAAAATGTTAATCAATATTAATAAGCCTTGTTGAATATCTAGAATGTCCTTAGACGGTTTTTTGAGGCTCCATTAACAATCATGAAAATTTGGTTAGATTTCGAAGACGATAGTTTCTTTAGATCAATCAGAAGTTGATCAATAACATGCATTTCTGTTGACAGCAAAATTATAAATTATTAATTCTCAAATCCGCTCAAAGAATTTGAGAATTTAACATTGGTTTTGGCCATTTTATTTCGATATAAATTTCAATCCAACTATCTCGATTTTTATGATTTTGCCTTCCCTCTGTGTGCTTCATTATCTTTCACTCTATTCTCGTCGTTTTCAATAAAATTCTACTATAATGTATTAATATCATTAAGATTCTTCCTAATCTTCAAATATTCCATTAATACAATTAGACCAAGATCTGTTAATGACACATGTGGCTTTAATGTTGTTATCAATAAAAATAAATAAAAATGAAATAGGATCGCAAGGTTTTAAATTAATATGCATACAGAATCTCACTTTTTATTTAGATAATTTAATTCATCCAGCCACGTTATTATTATTATTATTGAAATCAGATTCTTTTCAAAAAAATCGGTCATCATCCGATCTTTTTTTCACTTTTTTTTTCAGATCTTTACTGATATCAGGAGTGTGGAGTGTTATATAATAGAAATATGAATAACGTTATATTGAATGAAAAGAGAAATGATAATCTTGTGGTACTTTTAACTGGAGACAATTCTGATGAAAAATTAATGTGAGCAGCTTTAGAATGATTAGTCAAATCAAAAATATCTCAGAAACACTAAATTTTTTATAGTTTCTGCCAACTTTTAGAACGAAATAATAGGCGTAACTTGATCGTGGTGAGTAGATAATGACCAGTCATAAATGTTGACAAGTCGACTAGTAGTTGGTTCCTTTCTAACTGCTTATAAGAAGAAATTAATTTGCTATGGCAATCGCTTATTTGCATTACATACAAATCATATTTGCCTTTCTATTTACACTGAGGACGGTAACTGGTGCCAAAATGGTTCAGTGGGTTGTTGCTTAATTTGGAGCGCTGGTGCTGAGGTTCCAGTTTCGGCTGAATTAAACCTGTCCAAAAGTTGGGGTGATGCTTTCCGCGTGTTTCTATCACCGAGGAACTGGCAAATTTTTCTAGTATTGCAAGTCAGGGATCCGAGCCTAATCAGCAATGGTGAATGGTGACTCTTTAAAAAAATTATAGAAACATAAGATAATTGCCAAATTTCACTCATTAAGTCGAGTCGAACAAAATTGTTTCTTTTTCTGTATTCTGAAATATTTTTGTTGCTTCCCTTGTTTTTCTATAAATCATGTTTGATTCTAATCATTATACTTAAATTATTCTTCAATAAACTAAAAATTCTAATATCTGATAAAATTAGAGAAATTTATAAAAAATTTATGAATAAGTCTGAAAAATTGTTGGTTTTATTTATTATTGTTCTCTCAGTGCTCAGTGCAGACGATTGCTTAAGTGTTTGTTTGCTGCTTGTGCTTTGCATACGACTGATACTACTTACTTAATCTGGCTTTAATCTCTTTAATTGTGCCTATCACGCTATAAATGCGATTGATTTGGCTGTGAAATTATGATGAAAATAGAAGCTACCATTCTTATTTCTCGACAGATGGTGATTTATTGGCTGTTGATAAATTTTTCCCTCATCAACGTCCTTATTTGTCCGAAACGTAATGAGCTGAAAATAAATGTTTTTAAGCGCTCATTACCGTAAATTAAGGAAGGGGAGAATTTTCGCGTACAGTTGATTGCTGGCTGAATCGATGAATAACTCTATAATCGTAGTTATTTTTATGACATTTCCTTCATAGAACGTATTCTCTTTCATCTCTTGTCAAATGAATAATGTGAAATGTTAGAGGGACTAAATTGGGACTAAATTTAAATTTAGAAATACGAATACGAATATCAGTTGAGCGTCGAATATCTTCAGGATGATTAAAGCAATTCCGCGGAATCCCGCGGTCCTGCGGTCCTGCGGTGCGTCGTTCATGGTATGGTGTCGAAACAATTTAGTTCGCTACGCTTTGGCCAAAGAGTCATCTGAGAATAAAAGTGTAGGTGAATCGCTATCTAATCACTGCTCGAGCAATATTCGTTGGCGAATCGTCAATCATCTCTTCATTCATCAAAGAACCTTTCAGTTCAAATCATATTATCGTTTATCGTTTGAAAAATTGGTAAATGATAAAAAGAAAATCTGCGAAAATTTATTCAATTTATAAGAAATAAATTATGAAATCGAAAGATAAAATCTAAAGTTTTTGCTTCACCTTTGTTAAAAATAAATGTTTTGCAATTTTTTAATGGGCGGAAGATGCGAAAAATTTGAAAATATTTTTAAAGAAATTTTTCAAATCCCACATTTTGGTTTAATTTCTTTTCATAATTCAGCATTCACAAGTCGCAGAGCATTGTGGAAAGTGATTGCGTATTATCAGAGAACCATCCAATTACTACTTTAAAAAGCCCATTTACGAGGCTGATCGAGGAAATTCTCGATCTCTATGGTTCTTCAGAAACCTATAAACCTATTACGATTAATTTTTCCCTATCTCGGCGGCTTTTCTTTATTTTCCACCACAACTATTTTGCTTTTTAATCGTTCATTTCATAAAGTTTATTTCAGACATCCAAAACTTTTCATTTTTCATTCGCCCATCTTTTGTCAAATTCACGCTAACCAAATCATGCAAATATTGAGAGATATTTTTATTTATAAAGTTGGTGAAAATTCTTCGTAGATCTAAGCGAATCCTTAAAAAATATTTTGTCTTTATGGTCACTTTATAATGTCATTATTTTTCATAAGCTATGATCGCCGAGCGATTGTTGCTTAGGCAGCCGTCTCGAGAGTTCTGCCTCCGGTGAGAGTATGCTTGTCATTAAGAAGCACAGGAGGTGCTGATGGTCCACCCTGTACATCTACTCTTAGCAAATGAATCACCAACAAAAATTTTTACCGTACTAACAGTTGGTAAGTGAGCAGAAGTTAAAATGGTCAGCCACTTACATTTTTATATTGTTTGGCTTTTCCATGAAATTTGGCTTGAATTTCGATAGGCTAAATTTATTCCTTGTTTATTTCTAATTTCTGAGGTGTTATTAAGTCTTTGCACAAGCTCCACTGAAGTTTGAACGGATTATTTTGGTATTTGGTTATTGTTTTTATTATTTGTTGTAATCGTTCCTTCGTATTATGGTGTGAAGAAATTCAATAATGGTTTTTTTTTCGAATTTTATCTTTATCCTATGAAGAATTAATGGGAATACTTGAGTACTTTGGATCCTACGATATGGCTTCTACTAACCGTGATAAAAGGTTGGCGAGCGCTTACCATTTGTTGTCCAATTTTGCATTTTTTCTTCCCAGAAATCGAAACTGAAAAACTATTTTATTTGCTTTGGGCGAAAGTTGTAATAAAGATGCGATGAGGAATAAGTAATTTTTCAATCAAATTTCCAATTTCCGACTTTTAAGATTTCCAACATTTCCCTATTTAATTATTTAAAATCCAATTTTATCATTCTTTCTAGCAATATGAAACTTTGCCATGAATTTATTCATGAAAAGTATTAATATCACTGACTTATTATTTTAAAAATTGGTTATTAGATATATTATTGGATTTTCACATGTTCGTATTCGCTTTTAATATATTTCGGTAATTTCTTGATTTTTTTCATTTTAGAGACTTTTTTAAACATAGACTTCCCTAATCTTCATTTCTAAATTTTTATAATTCCGTGTGCTTGAAAAAGCCGGAAAAACATTCAGGCGTTAATTTTAACACTGTGCTTCGCAGATGCTTTGTTTTCATTTCAAGTTATTTTCATCATAATTGGCGATAAGCAGTGGATGTTGACATCAAAGATGGTTAAGCAATGGATTCATAAATTACAACTTTTAATAAGATTATAAGAGTTTTAACAAGATTAATAGTACACTTTGTCGTGTTACTCGTGAACTGCTTCATTCATTTCAAGGAGTAAATAAAATAATAAAAATTGACAATCAGATAATAAGATGCTTCACTTCGAAAAAAATATTAATATATGGATATTTCTGTCTCATGAAAATACTATAAATTTCTTGTGATTCTTAGAATATTAGATGGATATTTCCCTCGTTAACATCGGTCGTGCATGCTTTGGCGTCTCGTGGTACCACGCAGCTGTGGTTTATCATACTGGACGCTAATGAAATCGACCTTAATGTCATATCTCAAAATATGTAAAATATGAAAGCGCCGTGTAAATATTATTAGCAACGGTCAATAAGAAAATATTTATATTTAAGGAAATCAGGGAAAGTTTATTCGTATCTCAAGGAAAACAAGCATAAATCTTTTTTTAATAATATATTGGAATAAAAAGAATTGTTTGGCAATCTCTAAAAAAATTTTTTGTACTGAC